TTATGAGTCCAAATCAGTAGGAGCTATAAAGGTTACTGCTATGTTTAGCTGTGAGTGGAAGGTAGGGTGAAAAAAATTCTAGAATACACACACGCACAAGTGTGAAAGGAAGGGAGGAAACTCACGCGAGCGTAAAATATAAATGGAATTTATGTGTTAATTCCATATAATAATGCCTAAAGGTAAAGAATTGACTATTTCACAAAAACAACACATTTTGTCTTTTTGGAAAGATGGGAACTGTTACAGAACAATTTCTAACAACCTGAATATTTCTTTTACTACAATTGCTTTGTTCATTGCAAGGTTTAAAACTCATAACAGCATCAAAAACCAAAGACGAAGAGGTGCTCTGAGGAAGATTTCTCTAAGATCAACAAGGATATTAGGATGCCAGATCCAACAAAATCCACAGGTTACCCAAGAAGAGCTGCAGGAACATCTGCGTGCATTAGAGATTAAAGTAACCAAGCGTACAATAAGTAATGAACTACACAAAAACTCATGCATCCCAAAAAAAACTCCACTCCTCTTGAAACGACACAGAGATGCTAGGCTAAAATTCATTAGAGAGCATAAGGATAAAGAATATTCGTTTTGGGAAAAAAGTACTATGGACAGATGAAACTAAAATAGAGTTGTTTGGTCATAATTATCGAAATCATGTGTGGAGGAAGGACGGTGAAGCCTACTTACCAAAGAACACGTTGCCAACTGTAAAGTTTGGTGGTGGCAGTATCATGATCTGGGGCTGTTTTTCTGCAAAAGGTGTTGGCAGAATATCAATAATAGATGGCAAGATGAATGCCAAAAGATACCAGAAAATCCTGCAAGACAATTTAATGTGTTCTGTTGAGAGACTTCGGCTACCTCCTGATTGGGTTTTCCAACTGGATAATGATCCTAAGCATACCGCTAGATCTACAAGGAAATGGTTAACTGAAAGTAACGTTGATGTCTTGCAATGGCCAAGTCAATCCCCAGACTTGAACCCAATCGAGAATTTATGGCAATATTTGAAAATTCAAATTGGGAAAAGAGCACCAACAAATATCAAGAATTTGAAGACAATATGCCAAGAAGAATGGGACAAAATACCACTCGATGTGTGCAAATCATTAGTTGAGACGTACAGGAATAGACTGGTAGCTGTTGAACTCAATAATGCTTTTTTAGTTTTGTACAAATACTTTTTTCATCAGTTAAAATGAAAAAAATGCAATAATTTCTGTTAAAATAAGAATTAATTAAGTTTATTAATATTTTTTAATAAAATGTATCTTTACACATAAAATGTATCAAAATTTGTTTTAGTTAAGGCTTTTACATTTATAAGAATACAATTTTTCATGTGTATGAATATTTATTTCCTGCCACTGTATGTCAGAATTGAGAATTCAGCCATTGACAGGATTGTTTCAGATTCACAATGAACTAAATACACTTTAAGTCCTTCTACCATCTTCAAATGACATACTGAGGTCAGTGTGTCAAAACAGGTCAACACACTCTGCCTTTTCCCACCACTCTCTAAAGAAGATAACAATATCTCATTTTTAACCCGGAATATTTTTTCCATTTCATTTGTGATTTGTTTGTAGGTCTTGGAGATTGAAAGCTGCTGTTTTTAGAGCTATCATGAAATAAAAATTATTACCTATGGGATTTTAAGTGTTTAATATTCTTTAATTAATAATATATATGTAAATATAAAAGAAAAAAACTCTATAATATGTACATGTGTGTGCGTGTGCACAGGTGTATATCTACAGCAGATAAGGTTGACTACTTTGCTTGGAAATTCTCTTCAAGCTCCACACACGACTCATGTGAAGTACCCAGACCTGATTTCCCTGCTAGAACTGAGGCTCTACCGAGATATATGCACATAACTTCATCACTGGTCTCAGACATCATTTCCAAATTAGACTTCCATAAAGCAAGTGGAAGTGATAGGATCCTAGCCATCATCCTAAAGAAATGTGCTTCTGAGCTGGCTCCAGTTCTTTACAATTATTGCCTCACTGCTTCCTGCTTCCCAGCTTGTTGGAAGTCCTCTTATGTAGTCCATGTTTTTAAGACCTCTGGAGAACCTTCTGACCCTTCTAACTATTGCCCTATTAGTCTTCTACCATTTTTTGGCAAAGTATTCGCTACTACCATGACCTACTCTCTGACAAACAATATGGTTTCCAGGTCTATGACTGATAGGCTAATGACCATCACTGAATATGTATATCAAGCTCTTGATTATAATGGCAAAGTTCGAGCTGTGGCTCTAGATATCTTGAAGGCGTTTGACAGGGTTTGACACACTGGTCTTCTATGCAAGCTCCAGGGTTGTAGTATACTGGACAATTGTTTGATTTAATCAAATCATTCCTATCAAATTATATAAATGAAGGTCGTTCTGAATGGGCTCACTTCCTAATCCTTTCATTAAATAATTTGCTATTTCTAACTGTATCTTGTTTGTAGTAAGGAATTTGCATTTTTTGTTGTTTGTGTTAGTTGTTATCCTGTTATCCCTGTTAAATAATATAGCATTAACTTTGTAGCTTTCTTTTGAACCTCCACACTAAGGCAGACTTCCCTGCTTGCCATCAGCATGGCTGATGCTTGACTATTCAAGAGCGTCTCACTGCACATTTTTGTCCTCACATTTTCAACTGACTTGAAGTGCAATAACTACATCTACTGAAAGGAAAATTGGTTCATTGTGTCGTACCAGAAGGTCAGAGTACATCTTGCACATTTACAAATCTACCACTCATCCATGCATTGAATACAGTTACTATATCTCATCTGGTGTTCCTGCTGTTCATATCGAGGTTCTCGACAAAATTCAAAGAATGATCTGCAATGTAATTGATTCTGACTTGGCATCTCAACTTCAGTCACTTTCTCACGGACATAATTTGGCTTCCCTCTGTCTTTTCTACAAATATTTTTATGGCAACTGTTCTGATGAGCTATTTTTCCTAATGCCTCCACTCGATGAATTTAAACATGCTACTAGATTGGCATCTAGGTCCCATACTTTTATTGTTGAAATAGTTAAATGTAACCACCACTTGTACTTCAACAGTTTCTTTTCTTGCACTTCCCAACAGTGGAATTTACTTACTTCCCTGAAAACTACAATCTTCTAAAATTTAAATGCAACATCAATCACCATTTTCTGTCATCATAAACCCTGTTCATCTTTTATTCTTTCCTCAATCCCCAATATACTCAGTCTTTTCTCTCATTTTCACTCTCTGTAATCCCTTGCATACTTGCTTGGGGTGGGAGGAATGATTAAAAAAAAGTATTTCATTTTCGAATGAATGTTTCCAAGCATATGTACTTCCAAATAATGATACCATCATTTTCGTATTATTCAATTGGCTTTTATATTTTCCGCTTGACAAAACTTATTTCTTGTAGAAGTCAGCAGTGGATTCGGAATTAAATTTTGATTTCAAAAATTCATTGCATTGTAAGTCGATTAACTCCAACAGATATCTTTTCTGCCACTTGCTCCACAAATTAATTAGATAATAATGTCCAGAAATTAAGTTGGCAGGCCAAACAAAAATCCTTCATGGGCCGAGAGTTGCCGACCCTTGACTTACATTGTAAAATTTATTTTGTTTAAATCAAGGGAGACAACAAGAAACAAAAAAATGCACACACACAACACATCCATAGAAAATACTCAAATCATGACAACCCGGAACAATTACTGGCATGTCTTCTTCAGCTTTTCTTTGTCTTGTTGTCTTCACATCTGAGATTCTTTACAAATTAAAAAGGATAAGATATATTTTTATAGCAAAACAAAGGAGATTAGAGATAATTTTTCATCTTGCATGCAATTCTAACGTATGTTTAATTTTGGACAGTGCACTAACAACGGATTTTCATATAATGGCCAGGATGCAATGTAATTTCAGCAGAGTGAGTCCTAGTTAGAAAGATCTTCAGGTCAGGTAAACCAGTCTGCTTACAGATTTCAATTGATGGTGCTCCCAAGTAGCTACATGTAACCCCCCTCCCAAGTCGCCTTTTCTACCTCATCCTTCTTATCCTTCAAATTTTAAAAAGAAAAAAATAACGTCTTGAAACCGGGCCATATGCCTTCCAATAAGTTCCACTCATGAACAGAGATGCACATTGTGTCAATCTCAAGGGGACACACCCAAGTGATTAAGATGAAGCAACTGTCAAACAAATCTCTATAAATACTTTCATGGTTATTGTTCTGATGAGCTTACCTTTTTGGTGCCCAGACTTTATGGAATTTAAGCACAGTACTAGATTGGTGCCAAGTTCTCATCATTTCTCAGTTGAAATGGCTCAATGTAAACCCATCAATTTTATGCTAACTTTTTAATCTTTTTAATCTCTCACACTTCTTGATTCTCTCTTCCAACTTCTTGTTTTCAGTCAACTTTAATCTTCAAAAATTTTAATGCAATATCAATCATTATCTTCTATCTTCATAATTCCTGTTCTTTTATTGTTCTCTCTCTTTAATAATGTTCTTTTTTTTTTCTCAGGTTCTCTCACACTCAGTCACTCCTCACATCTTAGTGGCTTTATTACCTTGTTTGGTGTGAAATGATTAAAAAAAACAAAAAAACATGTACTTCCAATCAGTTCAGATAAAGAAACCATGACAGTCATTCTGAGTGGTGAATAATAATAATAATAGTCATCACTGTCAATTGATTTTCACCTAATATACGCAACAAATGACTAACTAAGAAAAGAGAAGGACCTCCTCAATTCTTGGAATCTTAATTACTATGAAAGATAAATCATAAAAAGAAAATGGTTCAAAAAAAAAAAAAAAAAAAAAAAAAAGGTGCAAATTTAAATTTAGAAATTGGTTGTTAGAGATCAGCAACTAATTCATCAATTGAGGCGTTACAAATATTCTCAACCCACAAAGAATTTACTTGATGTAAAGCACCTTTTATAATTTAAGTAAAAATGGTTCCGGCAATACTTACGTAACATTAGACCTGGACATGCTGACAACCTGACCTTTCTCATTCACTAATGGACCTCCACTTGAACCAGGATAAAGAGCACAACTTGACTGAAATAAAGTAAATAAAAATAATGTTTCCTTTATAATTTCAGTAAAAGAATTAAAAATAATATAAAATTAAATTTATCCCAGTTCAAAAAAAAAAAAAAAAAAAAACTCTATTCAATATCAAATGTAGACAAAGGCCACAGAGAGTGGATGAGAATTTTCTAATTTGCCCTCCCTAAACATGCCAAGTAAATAAAACACATAAAAAATATGCAAATAGCTTAGTAATCAGAGAGAGAGAGAGAGAAAAAAAAAATCTATGATAAAATGGAAAAGGTTTTCATCTGAGACATTTCATCCTTTAGGAATTCATCAGACTAAAGTGATGTTTTCATTGATATGATTACACATGTGCATGAAGGAGAGGAGACAATGAAATTTTAAATTGTTTTTTATATAAAAATTTATATATCATTTTCCCATGTGTATATATATATATATATATATATATATATATATATTTTATATCTGGGTACCAATCCTTTCAGTGAATATGATATAAAAGGAAAATGGTCTAAGTTTTTCATTCAGGTTTTCTAGTGTCCTTACAGTTTTTCTTTTATTAGGACAAAGTGTGTGCAAACTGTTCGGCAGGATTGTTATCCAAAGCACTTTTGGTCAATACTTTAACTATTTCCAAGGATCGTAGTTGGGGAGACTAATTTTTCATTGTTAGTATATTTTGTTTTTTGTTTTTTTTTCTATACTGTGTTGAGTGAGTGTAGTAGTAATTCATACTCAATTCATATTCCAAACACGGTCAGGATGCTTTGACCTGCTTTAAAGTAAGTAATGCTCAGTGTAGGTTTGTAAATTTTTATTAGGAAGGCTTTTATTATTTTTAAATATCTTTTATAACTAGAGTGTTTTTATATTAGAGTTTTGAATAAATTCTATAATATCTACAAGAATATTTATATATGGGATGACACATGTACCAGATGCACATATATATTTAAAAGAAAAAAATACAAGCAATAATACAGAATTTTTAAAAATTCATATGAAAAATGAATATAAATGTGTTGACAGCAAAAAATGAAATTAAATGTTCAATTTCTCTGACCAAAAAGTTTCATGAAGATGGTATCCACTCATAAAGAAGCATGATAGTAAAACTGAATTTATTTTTATTTAGATAGTTTAATAAAATAAATTTAATGTTACTTATCAGAGTCCTGTAAGCGATTAGGATCATAGAGGTACTATATCTACTGCAGCCATTGCAGCAGTGGTGTTTCCGGGGAAAGATAGCCTGAAGGAGTCCAATTCTCTCCAGGCTGGTTTGAAGTCAGAGTTTCCTTCTCTTAGACTAGTTGCCATGCAAGGGTATAGGATCCAGTCTGTCTTGCTATTTACCTCCTATTCAGCTTGGGGAGAAGAGATAGATTTATAACTTTCCCAAGGGTATTAGCAAATAAGTCAATGTAATGAACTCAATTGGAATTTGAACTCGGCTCTCTGACTCCTCAATCCGAGCTACTAACCATTAATACCTCTACAGAGTAATGACAGATAAGTTGAATTTAAATTTTATTTATTACTGTTAATGCTCTATCTCTTGATATCGAGCACATTAATTAGAAAAGAAAGCGTTATCTTCCAGAAATATACTCGTTAACCATTTGTTATTATCTCGAAATGCAATCTTTATTATTAAATGTGTAAATATTCATAGGTAAATTAAAGGAAATCTAAACTAAACGAGAATTACCTCCCTTCTTCATTGATAATTTGTAGCTTTTAATATGTAATTCAAGTTTCATTTTTTTTTTAAATTAGCAGTTGAATAACTGGAGTTTAGTATAAAGCAGAAATTATGGACTTTAAATTTATTAAAAAAAAAAAAAAGAAATCGATAAATAGAAAAATAAACATTTCAAAATGAATTTATGAATCATTTAAGGGAAGTTACCTTGATATATATATGTGTAGAATAGTTACCTCCCTTTAACTGATACGATAATATATATTCACACTAATAGCGTAGTAGACGAAGGGCGGTAACTATTTTCCACATATTGTAAGTTAACTTCCCTTAAAGGATTCCTAATTTCATTTTTAAATGTTTATTTTTATTTGTTTATCGATTTCTTTCTTTTCTTCTTTTTTATTTTTTTAGAAATTTAAAGTCCATAATTTCTACTTTATACTGGAATCCAGTTATAATTACCCAGCACTTATTTTGACTAACTACGTTATTTAAACGATTACTACGCTACTTATGAAAATGCAAAAACAATCCGAGTTGGCAATAAAGTAAAAACTGTAAAATGAAGCACTAAAATGATTAAATAAATAATCGTTATAAGTTCTCGGAATACCAATGCCCATTTTTAATCACATGAATATAAAATATCTTACAATTCCACAGAAACTGAAAATATATTAAAATAATTGCTGGACTTAGTCTATTTCATCATATATATATATATATATATATATATATATATATATATATATATATAATAAAAAGGCTTAAACACTAATATTCCATGGTCATAATTTATTCCATAAGAGTTCTCATGTTTCAAAAACGAGAGCCGAAATGAAATATCCAAATAATTATTAAAATTAAGTTGGATTGTGGTGTTTAGTCCCGCTTTCATCTTCAAGTTTAAATTTTAGGAATAAGCTTTCTGTCGGTTTACGTGTATTTTTAGGCACGGTCCGTTACAGAATTCGTTATTTTGGGAGTGGCTAGACTATTTTCCTTCGTTAAGTGGTCAGAGAATTGTCTTTTATTATTGTCCATCTGATTATCTATTTTTTATTTGTTTATTCAAGTGGGTGTTTTTTTTATACAGATCGCGTTGCACTGAATTTCAATTTGTTTTTTGTTTTTGACGACTACAAAAAGGGTTTTTCCTATTTAATGATTTGGCTTAGCGTTTAAGAATTTTACTTAGCTATGTGAATTTTTTTTTTTTTTTATATGCTAATTATTTAATACGAAAGTTTGTTGATGTCTGCAAAAAACCATTAACTCCTGCCTATGGTTTAATAATTTTTCATTATTTAGAAATTTAATGATGTGTAGTTTTTCCTGTAAGCATAAAGTGCATGGGTCATCCCAGGTTTTACAGGTTCTTGTTTTATTTACTATTTTCCATTTTACTTTTGGTGTTTTATTCGTTTCTTTTAGATGCCAGAAATATTGGGATAGAGATGTCTGATTTCTATTTTGAATATTGTTGAAGGAGCTCTTGTGTTGCCTCCATCTAATTTTAAAATTATTCTTTGTTGAGCCTATGTATATCCTATCAGTGTTAGGACTCTCAATGGATGAGATAGTGCATTGGTATACCACAGATTTTGTGAGGTATTTATTTTCCAACGGGCAGTTTTTAGGGTTTCTACAATCACATAATTTTTTGTTATTTTTATCCAATTTTAGTTTGTGTTTTATTACTGTTTTGGTATGCGAGTTTTTCTAGGATTTTCTTATTATGTCTTTTTATGATTCTTTCTATATTTTCAGTGCAGCTGTAACTCAATTTCAAGGTGTTTTTGTTAAAGCATATACCCACATCAATAGAGAAAAGAATAAGTATGAACTCAGCAAATAAGGAAATATTCCAACAACACAGTAGTTTTTACAACACAGCCCTGAAAAATAGTGGATACAAAAACGTTGACATAACCTATAGAAACGATAGTACCAATAATAAGAAAAACAGGAAAAGAAAGATCATCTGGTATACCCCCCCCCCCCTGTACAACCAAATGGTCAGCACCAAACTAGGCCATAAGTTCCTAGCTTTAATTGAAAAGCACTTTCCCACTAATAGCAAACTTAGCAACATCTTTAACAAAAACACCTTGAAACTGAGTTACAGCTGCACTGAAAATATAGAAAGAATCATAAAAAAGACATAATAAGAAAATCCTAGAAAAACACGCAAACCAAAAACAGTAATAAAACACATAAACTAAAATTGGATAAAATAACGAAAAAATTATGTGATTGTAGAAACCCTAAAAACTGCCCGTTGGAAAATAAATGCCTCACAAAATCTGTTGTATACCAGTGCACTATCTTATCCATTGAGAGTCCTAACACTGATAGGATATACATAGGCTCAACAAAGAATAATTTTAAAATTAGATGGAGGCAACACAAGAGCTCCTTCAACAATATTCAAAATAGAAATCAGACATCTCTATCCCAATATTTCTGGCATCTAAAAGAAACGAATAAAACACCAAAAGTAAAATGGAAAATAGTAAATAAAACAAGAACCAGTAAAACCTGGGATGACCCATGCCCTTTATGCTTACAGGAAAAACTACACATCATTAAATTTCTAAATAATGAAAAATTATTAAACCATAGGCAGGAGTTAATGGTTTTTTGCAGACATCAACAAACTTTCACATTAAATAATTAGCATATAAAAAAAAAAAAAAAATCCCATAGCTAAGTAAAATTCTTAAAAGCTAAGCCAAATCATTAAATAGGAAAAACCCTTTTTGTAGTCGTCAAAAAACAAAAAAACAAATTGAAATTCAGTGCAACGCGATCTGTATATAAAAAACACCCACTTGAATAAACAAATAAAAAAATAGATAATCAGATGGACAATAATAAAAGACAATTCTCTGACCACTTAACGAAGGAAAATAGTCTAGCCACTCCCAAAATAACGAATTCTGTAACGGACCGTGCCTAAAAATACACGTAAACCGACAGAAAGCTTATTCCTAAAATTTCGCTTGAAGATGAAACGGGACTAAACACCACAATCCAACTTAATTTTAATAATTATTTGGATATTTCATTTCGGCTCTCGTTTTTGAAACATGAGAACTCTTATGTAGCGAAAAAAAAGGAATCATATTTTAAATAAAAAATATTATTATAATATATATATATATATATATATATATATATATATATATAATTATTTA